TAAGATATACTTTCCTATCTATTTACTAATGCTAGCAGCATAAAGATTACAAATAGTGTTGACTGAGGTGGAAGTTCCACTTTAACCACGGTTTCCTCTCATGTGAAGCATTGCAACGTGGCTCTCTACACACAGTGCCTGGTGCTTTATAGGTGAAACAGACAGACATTTACTCTGATAACCTGTAACCAGGGACCCAGTGAAGCAGTGCAGACACAGCCTTGTGGTTATTCCGACCCACCTGCATATACTTTCTGGCACTGTAACCTCAGCTGGTCCATTAGTATTCCGGGGAGATTAGGCTATTGCCCTTTCCTTTACAGCAGTGTTAAATCCAAAACCAAAAATGTAATATATTGCAGCTTACCAATCATTAGATGTGGTGGCTGCATTAGTTTTCTTTTTTTAGGGTTTTTTTCTTCAGTTTTTCTGTTACCACCTGGTGATTTGGCCACTAACACCTCTCGCATTGCATTAGAGTGCCTACACTCTGGTCGACGGAGCAGTATTTCTAATCTGTGGTAAAGGAAGGGTGTTACATGTCCTAGCAGATTTAACCACTTCAGCTATGAATGGTTTTACCCTCTTCATGACCAGGCCATTTTTTGCTATTTAGCACTGTGCTACTTTAACTAGTAATTGTGGGGTCATGCAACACTGTACCCAAATAACATTTATATCATTTGTTTGCACACAAATAGAGCTTTCTTTTGGTGATATTTTATCACCACTGGATTTAAAAAAAATGATTATATAAATGAAAAAAGAAACATTTTGAAAAAAAAAAAATATATAATTTACTTTCTGCTATAAAACATATTCAATACAAATTTAAAAAAAAAAAATCAAATGTCTTCATAAATTTAGGCCAAAATGTATTCTTCTACATGAATGAGGAAAAGAAAAAACAGAGGGCGCACAGGCCTAGTGCATTACCATAAAAATGTTTAATAAAAAATAAAGTATGTGTTTGTACTCACAAACGACAATATAGTCAAGGCACATCATAAAGAACAGCTGGGTCAACACCGCGCTGAGTAACACCGCGCTGAGTAATAGTCCGCAATAGGGAGTATAGACATCCAAAAGTCTAAAAATTTGTGTAATGTGTGCAGCTTTTTACTAAAAATCTTGTTTCTTCTCCCTGCAAAGCAAACTTTAAATGTGTGGTGTGATCACCATTTATATATGTGTGCAAGGCCTACATATGCATGAGCACTGGGGGGAGCAGAAGTGATTTAATTTTTTTTTTTTTAATTATACTTATTTTGTTTGGCTCTAAAAAAAAAAAAAATGATATCAGGAAAATTCTGGTAGAACCACTGAAATCCAAGTACATACGTCCATTTGGATGTGATGAAATAGCACAGCCATGCAAAGATTTGTCCCTTTATGGGCCAGGGACATCTCCACACCAGGCTGGAGAAAAGCCAAAATTCCAGCTACAACATTCTGTTGGGGATGAAACTTATGAGTTTTGCAAATGTTGAAATAAACCTTCCATATATGATGGGTTGGTTTTAATGGAGGTCGACTTTCTAGCCTTGAGGAGAATAGGAATCACAGAATCAAAAACACTACTATTCTTCAGGACTTGGGCTTCAACGGTCATGCTGTCAAAGCCAGCACCTGCGAAAAACAGGATGATGGGTGATTGAACTTGCGACAGCAAAACTGCTCAATCATATGCAAAAATATTAACAAGAACAGAATATCAAGTTCTTCTTGGCCAAGCCCGTGCAATCACGAAATGCCTTCTATTTGTATCCTGTGCAGCAGCAGAGGAAGTTGTAGTGGAGGGAGGGCATAACTTAGGGAAAACCTATCCCCAGGTGTTACCAGGGCATTTAAAACAAATACCTGAGGATCCCTGGTTCTGAACACAAACCTGTCCAGTTTGACGTTGAATCTGGACACCTAACGCAGAAAAATCTCTGAACATTTCCAGTTAAAAAGCCCAATCTCCTGGATACAGCTGCTGATGCTTGAGAAAATCCTATCAACAATTTTCCACCTCGAAAATGTGTACAGGGGCTTGAACATGAACTTTTGCCCAAGACAAAGAAGGCCCACTTCTTCCTGAGCAGCATGACTTTTTGTCCCATCTCAATGGTTGATCTATGCTCCCGTCGTGGTAGTGAATGACAGCACCCTAGAGGGGAGGCCCCAAAGGTAGACAGACCAGTGAAAAATCCAGGATGTTCAAGGAACACGTTAGGCAGCTTTGACTGCTCTGATGCCTACATTCTCTGAACTGGGAGGTTCTCCTGAACACCTCCCTGGTCTGACAGGTTGGCATCTGTCTTCAAAACCTTCCAATTTATCGAAAGAACGGATTTTTCAGTATTCAGCAACTGCATGGATATCCACCATTCCAACGCCAACCTGGTCTTGGGAGTCAGATGCATTGGCAGATCCAAGGACTCCTATAGCTTGTCTTATACTGACAGGATATTGAGCTGCAGAGCTATGGAGTGTAACTAGGCATAAGGGACCGCATCAAAGGTCGCTATCATCTTTCCAGACCCACAGGTCTGAATCAAGAAGCTTTCCCATTACCTCAGAGATGCCACCTGGGATTGAAGAGGCAGTCATTTAGTCTGCAGAAGTAGTTCTTTAGCTTGAGCCTTATTGAGGACTATGCCCAAGTACTCCTAGCACAGAATTGAGACCAAGGCCACCTTCTAAAGGTTCAGTACTCAGCCAAACTTCTCCAGGACCTGTAACATCTGCTGGACGTTGGATATCAGTTCATGGACGATTGTTCGCTTAGATGCAGGTTGTCCAGGGACACATATTGGGGATATCCTGAGTTCTCAACAACCCCAAACTGAAGCCAGAGCACGTTGCCTGCAGGCCTAGCTCTGATCAGCAGACATTACAGGTTGCCCCTGCTCTTGCACATGGGATCTGGGGACAGTCCTTCTTGGTTGGTGAGGGTTTATGCTTGGACAGGGATTATTGCCCTCTTTTGGCCAGTGCCCATTCACCTGAAGGTGACAGCATTACCCAAGTAGTCATATATATATGACTTCTCTGTGCCCTGTGATGTACAATTAAGAAAACACATCCACTCACCTGAGGTCACTAGCAAAATATTGAGGCATGTTGGTGGGAGGGGTTATTCTGTACTGGCCAACTGTGTCCAATTCTCTTGTAGACAGCAGTATAACCTGACATTCTAAGAATTCTGTCTCTCTCATGGGGAAAGAAAAGAACTAGGATGTTTGTACACATCATAAAATTATTTTCTTGGAGGAGTCCACTGAGGGACACAGCTCCTTACTCTCATATGCTAGTGTTCTCTCTTTGGAATGCTTAGTACAACTGCAGTGTTTTCTGGCTATAAAAGGTTTTATTGGGTTATGGGAGCTGAGCATTTTTTAATGCAAACTTGATTAAGTACAATATACTGGTGAGGAGGAGTTACAATTTACAGCAGAAATGTTTTATGAATAAAGACAGAAGATCACCTTGCAAATGGCAGGAAAAAAACAAACATTAAAGTGGTTGTAAACCTCTGACATGAAATATAAACAAAGCATATCCATCTATAGTGTGTACTTGCCTCAATCCAGAGCGCTAACTTAATTTCTGTCTGCTGCCTCCTTCCTATCTGCACGAGTCACTTCTGACAATTTTTCCTGATACCAAGATAAAAAAGGTGACAGGGGAGGGATCTCCAGCACACACCCTGTGATTGACAGCCTCAGCTCTGTTCCTGTGTGCTGTATGAATGGGGTTGTGCCCCTTCCCTCAAATTCAGCTCTCACTGAGCTCTGCAGAGTGTAAATTCAGCTCCCTGCCCTCTGCATTCTGTAAGCTCAGACAAGCTGTAAAAATTCTAGACTTTGTATGGCTGTAGAGAAGAGAAGACTGCAGATAAACAGGTACAACTTATGTAGGAAGATTAATTTCATCTCTGTGTATCATCTAAAGCTAGTCACTTCACTGAGTATATGTAAGAGTTTAAAACCGCTTTAAACAATGGATGAGATTTCTGAAAGTTCCAGACATATTTACATGCAGTGACTCCATTCTGTACAAAGAACTAGTGACTGGGCCCAGCAGTTCTCACCTGTCTCTCCTTATCTTGTAGCATTCCTTGCAGAATATCAATTTCTGCTTCAGCTTTAGCCAAATCTCTAGCCGCTTTGGCTGCCTGGGAGAGGAAATTATCTGCTTCTTGTATCTCCTGCCATAAAGATAAAATAACATTTTCCTTATTACTGATAACATCATTACCAGATCTATCCAATCCAAATACAATGGCGTCACAGTATTAGTTTTTATATTACTAAAAGCAAAAGAAGTGTAGTTTAAGAGGTGTTAAGTCACAAATGTTATCGTCTTTAAGGCTTAATGCCATGCCTTTCCATCTTGTCCAATCAGAGAACACTTTGCATTCATTTCATCATTCTCTGAATGGCACCCAAGCCAAGAGGGCGCCCCCTGTGGTTACAAAGCAGCAGGGCAACTGCCACTTACCAGCAGTGATTACTGTAGTAGCGACTACTAGCTAAAAATTAGTTACATGGCTAAAATAAAGATTAACATTGTGTGAAGCTTCATGTTTTGAGCCCATATTTTTAGACCTAACTACACTGAGGAAAAATGTCATAAAACACTAATTTGCCACCACAATTGCGGGTTTTTTATTGTTTTGTTTTTTTTATAAATGTGCCATGTAATACCTCGGCACGCTCTCGGTTGATCTGAAGTACTGTTCCATGGAGAGACTTCAGCTGGTCTTTGGCATCAGTCAGCTCTGAGGTGGCCAACTTATCTGACATAGCCACGGCCTTCTTCAACTCCCTGAGCTCGTTATCAAGTCCGGAGAGCTGTGTCTGTGCCTTGGCATCCTCCATTTTCCTCTGGAATATAAGGGTCAGTTTTAGATATATATATATGGAGTAAATGTGTCTAATTTACCACATACAAATCACAGTGAGAGTCCCACCTCACTCTCCAGATCATGCAATGCTCTAAGAAGTCTCTCACGCTCTTCATCTGCTTCCACCAGCTGCTGGTCAGCCAGACCTTGAAACTCCTCCATCGTCTTCAGTTTTTCATTTAATTGATGCATTTCTCTCTCCCTGCTGCTGCACTCTGGACTCCCACTGCCTCTTCTCCTGCTGGATCTGCAATCACAGATTCGAAGATATATCAATTCTGGAACCAGAACAAACCTCAGAAACACTGAATACAAATTGTTAGATGAAACAAAAAGCTACACAATGGAGTGGGGTCTTTCACACTGGCATTTCCACTGCATCTGCATCACATCTAGGCAGTGTTTGGAAATACAAGATTTACATGTACAATGTAATTTACAGATTTTAGCTTATTTTCTTCCACAGCATAGCAATAAAATTAATATATATATATAATATATATATATATATATATATATATATATATATATATATATATACCGTATATATCAGCACATCCTCTGAAAACTAGTCAATGTCAGCATTGCTGACTGCAGATAAGGGCTCAGATTTTACACAGCTCTTGGTGCTCCTGGATAGGTTAATGAGCTGTAGGTTGTAAATTATGAAGTATAACATTCATACCCATAAATGCTAATGTGACAGATTTTCCAGTGCACTCATACTAAGTTTTAGGAACTACAAAGAGAAAATATTTCAGTTTTGATGTCTCTCAAGACTGGACTGGATAGAAGTCTCTTTTACCCTGGCTTCTGCAGCTTTGTTGCAAGCCTTTTTATATTCTCCAGGGGCCTCTTTGGCTTTCTCCTGCAGGGTTGCTATTTCCTTCTGTAACTTTCTCTGCCTCTCCTCCGCTTCTTGTTTCTCCTCCTCCGCCTTCCCCAGGACTTCATTTATCTGCTGCTGTAGTTCTGCAAGGTTCTGACCAAGAATGTCTGATGAGCCAAAAGACCTTAAATGTAAAATACAAATAAACTGTTGTAAAATCCAGCATCACTTCAATGTAAATTCCAGGCATGTAAAAAAAAAAAATCTACTAGATCAACGCCAGTACTGGTTGACCCCATCGGATAAGTTATGGGTACAAATAGAGAAAAGTTTGGTTCCAGCTGGAGATTTTCAAGCTCTATTACTTGCAAAAAATTATTTTCCCCAAATTAATTTATACCTATCTCCCTTCCGACTCTGCATCCCTGGGTGCATGGGTGATGGGCTTATCTAAATCTGACCCTTTTTACCCCAAAGGTTAAGCTAGACATACCGTTAACAACTTATGAACACCTTATTCCCAATCTTACTGTAAAATCCCTGAGAGATGTGGGCTATTGCAAGTATACCGACATCCATGCTGCTCAAGTGCGGGGAAATATATACCCATTTCTTCAGATTAGGGCCTACAGGGGCACCAATTTTAACTCGAATGTAGAGGTTGATGCTAAGATTTGGCATTCATTATCGAACCCTGCTGGACTAAAAAAGGGCATCTTATGGTTCTATAGATTTTTGCAGTATGATTCTGACACTTCCGTGAGAGCATGCATTGAGAAATGGAAAAGGGGGCTGGGGAGAACCTTTACTCAGGAAGAGTGGCAAGCAGCTTGGTCTTGCAATATCAGTCTTTCAAAGTGTACTAACCACTGGGATAGCTCTGTTAAGATTCTATACTGCAGCTATCTCACCCCACATAAAATCGCAAAAATATACCCCTAAGCATCACCCGTCTGTTGGAGGGCTTATGGTGAGGTTGGAAGCTTACTGCACGTTTTGTGGGAATGTGCAAATATACAGGAATTTTGTAGTGATGTTTTTGATTTGATCTCTCGGGTGTCAGGGGAACAGACAAATCCTAATCCTCATCTAGCATTACTAAATATTACATTGAATTTATTTTCTGTTCAATTTTGGACAATTATTGCTCATATTCTAATAGCTGTGCAGCTAACTATTGCTAAAGTGTGGAAATCTTCTACATCCCTTCCTATTCGGGAGGTGATTAACAGAGTACACTCCCACTATCTGTATGAGAGAGCCTACGCATTTTCAAATCACACTATATGGGTATTTGAAGTTAAATGGCAACATTGGAACACTTTATTAAAAATCTCTGATTTATAAAGAGTAAGGGTCCATAGGACAAAGATTTTGAAATCTTCTTGTTGAATTCTGTTGGATATGTTGAACCTCTTTATCTTTCTTTTGGTATTTTCCTCCTTTTATTCCTTTCTCCTGCTTTTATTGTTTTTCTTTATTTTTTATTTTTCATTATTGTATTTTTTTTGATTGTATTTGCAATGGATAAAATTTTATCCCATATGTATCACATGTGCCCGCTTGAATAATGAAGTGTGTACTGCTATGATCTGGTTTATATATCAGATAATGTTCTATAACTGCTGAATGTATTCGGCATAATTTGGACAATGTGTGATGTTCCTATGGCTACTGTTACAGCCGACTACTTCATGTTCCTGTTATTGACTTGAAAAACCTTAATAAAAAAAAAAGAGTTGAAAGAAAAAAAAAATACTTTATTAGAAAATAAAGTGGGATTGTTTACTTACCAGTAAAATCCATTTCTTGAAGTACAGTACAGGACACAGCATCTTTAGTCTTTAATAATGGGTTATAGGCAGCTACCTTTATGTGATTGGACATTGACAAAAAATGGAAAGCTGCAGAAAAATCCCCTATATCACCCCTTTTCACTCCTAGCTAGGCTCAGTTTTGTAGCAAGCAATAGGGAGATCATAAACAGTAGGGGAACCCGTGTACTGTACTCCAAGAAATGGATTTTACTGGTAAGTCGCCATACAAACAGATGCCTGATATTAAAAAGCCCATGAAGCATTACCTAATCTGGTAGTGTGTGCCTTAATAGGGAAGGGAGGAGTCCTATACTTTAGGCCATAGGCTAGAATGGGGACTTGTCTAATCCACTTAGTAATGGTGGAGCGAGAAGAGAGCCCTTCCTCCATGGGAACCTTCAGGAAAGATGAAGAAGGAATCTGATTGCCGAAAAAAAAAGCTGAAGCTGAGAGGTAGACTCTAAAAAATGTGTACCACCTACAGACAGTGAGGAGAAATTTCCTTGGGATGTTTCAGAGCAGAGCATAAGGAATGAAGGACAATGAAAAAGAAAGATTCCGCCAGGTATAACTGCTCCGAACTTAGCTAAGCCTCAGTTTTGTAGTGAGGAATAAGGAACACAGACAAAAGAGTGGAGTGATCCCTTTGTCCTGTGGTATAGAGCAAGAAAATTATTTTATAGGTAAACCAAAAATCCTAAATTTCTTGATTGTGCACGCAGGGAAACTTCATATTTATGACTAATTTGGGATGTCCCAAAGCAATGAACATGAGGGATGAGCAACACAGTAAAAAAAAAGCCAATAATGCTAAAAAGCCCAAATAGAACAAAACAGGGGCAAACCTCACTACAGAGCAGCATACAACAATTTTGCTCAAAAACTGGCGCCTTTAGCAGCCTGAACATCCACTTGGTAAAATTTGCTAATCAGCCCAGGAAGCACGCTCCATTTCCCTTGAGACCATAGGCCTGAGAAATAAAGAAGAAGAATACACCAAGACGAAATGTATGGAGAAGCAGCCTCACCCTTGTGAGGACCCTCCAGTAGAACAAACAAGAAATCACGCTGTCCAAACAAAGCTGTACCCTTCAAGCTGTTCAGATTATTATGAATAATAATTAGGGGTGTTTATGACAAAACAATGGTAACACAAAGTCCTGATTCAGATGGAACAATGAAAGCACTTTAGGGATATAAGAGGACTAAGGCCACAATAGCACCTTATCCTGGTGAAGAACCAGTAAAGGTTTCTTGCAGGAGTATGCAGACAGCTCCAAGACTCTACTAACCGAATTAATAGGCACCTAAAGACAACCTTGGATGTAAGAACAACAAAGGATTCTCTCAGATAGACTCAAAACAGAGAGGTCTGTAAAACAGACAACAAAGTTAAAATCTCAAGGGGATAACGTGGGCCGCAAAGATGGAACAATCCACGTGACACTGTGCACAAAAGGTATTTACCAAGGAATGAGATGCAATAGGTCTCTGAAACAGAACTTCCAAAGCCAAGATTTGTCCCTGGATCACATTTAAAGTCAGAGACATCTCCGCACCAGACTGAAAAAAAGACAAGGTGCAACCCAAGTCATCCTGTAAAGGATGAAATGTGTGAGCCTTACACAAGGAGAAAAAGGCCTTACATGTACAATGATACACCTTCCTGGAGGTCAACTTTCTTGCCCTGAGAAGGGTAAGAATTAGACAGTAATGAACAACCTTGTCCCTCAGGATGTTAGCATCAACAGCCATGCAATCAAAGCCAGTGAGCGTAACATAGGATGGAAGATTGCACCCTTAGAAAGCAGGTCTGGCTGATCCTGAAGAGCCCATGACTCATCTGCCAAGAGATTGACGATGTCCATATACCACATTCTTCTTGGTCAAGCTGATGCAATCACAATTACCAGAATGCCATCCACCTTTTTTTTTTGCCTGTGTAACTAGTGAGGACAAAGTTGCAGGGAAGGAAATCTATAGACTGGAGAGCTTGATCCCATGGAGTCATCAGGGCATCCACCTAAAACTTTCGAGGATCCCTGGTCGGAGACACAAACCCGTTCAGCTTGTTGTTGAATCTTCAAACCAAGAGATCCACATCCAATATTCCCCATTGTGAAGAAAGTGAAGGGCCACTCATGTGGACTGAGCTCTTGATGGCTGAGAAATCTGGAATGCCACTTTTCCACACTGGGAATGTGTACAGCAGAGAGAGCCAGAATATGATAATTTTCCCAGGAAAAGATCACATCTACTTTCTCTTGACTGGTAAGACTTGTTGTCCCTCCTTGAAGGTTGACTTATGCCACCACCCTGGTATTGTTTGACTGCACCCTGGTGAGGAGACCTCAGAGACAGGAAGACCAATGCTAAAAAGCCAGAGCGCATGTGCAGTAGGACACTGGCTGTGAAGCTGCAAGGTTTCACTTCCGGATTCTCTTACTGAAGATGCCGGTGCAGGGAACCCAGAGGCTAGTGAAGAACTAGCCCAGGTGATGACAGAGCTGGACCCCTGGGCAGGTAAGTGTCCTTGTATTAAAAGTTAGCAGCTACAGTATTTGTTGATTTTTTTGGAGGAGCCTGAAACTCCACTTTAAGCAAGCAATCTAACCAGAAAAAAATGCTCTCTTTTGTGGCTCCAAAGAGTCCCTTGAGAACATAAAAGCATGAAGGAAGAAAGCAGCAAAACTCCAGCTTGTAACCTCTGGACACCACCCTGCAAAACCATTGATCTGCAACTTTTTAAGCCCAAATGGCTGTGGAGGTCGATAAATGTCCTACCGCCTGTGGAATTGGGGGCACCCCTTTACTGGGAAGAGGACTTGTCTAAGGACCTGGAGGACTTGGGGTTCAGGTCTTCTTATGGAATTGGGTGGCATGCTTCTGCTGCTTACAAAAGAAATGTGTCTTGGCCTCTGAAGGCTGCAGCAGTTTCTAACCTATTGTTTTTGCCTTCTTTTAGGGATAAGAATGTGCTTTTTACCCACAGTCACCTTCTTAATGAAGGCATCCTAGGGTGACCTAAACAAATACTTGCCCTCAAAGGGCAGCCCTTCAAATTGCTGTTTGCAGAGAAGTTCCCCCAACCAGCTCTTGAGCCACAGGATCCTCATCATATGTTTTTCTGTAAAATGGATAGAAGTGGTGCCCAACCTCAAAAGCTGCCATATAAGTTTTCCAAGGCATCATTTAAGAAACCCAAAGTCCTTGTCAAATCATCCAGGTACTGCCTAATGGCAGGATCCCCTGGATCAGAATATCTGGAATGAGCCATATGCTTTCCCAAAAGGAGTTGATTAAACACTTACTGCAGCCAACACCAGCTGCAGGGCTGCTCCCCAGAGAAAAGAATGCCTTAAAGAGG